CAGTAAAGGAGGGAACTTCTTCTGTTTGAATAAAGAGCAAAACAAAGAAACTACAGCTAATGTTATACATAATGATAAGATGCTATGCACTTTCCCACTGAGACTGGGAACGAGATAAGGAGGTCCCTTCTTACCCCATATTCCTCACTGTACCCAAAGTTCTACTTAAGACTAAAGAGGGCTGATGGGGACCGCACAGATCCCTCTGCCTCTTGCTCAAAGAGCAGGCCGGAAGGTTGGCCTGGCTTGAGGTTCCACTCTCCCTGCCCTATCCTGCACATAAGGGACCACTGAAGTGTTCTGGCCCAGTAGTGTCTGACCCCCGCAGTGTGTCACCCCTAGAACCAACCCAGGGCTGGAACTGTGCCACTAGTTCCAGATCTAGAAGAGTTTCCAGTCTAGGTGAACAGAACCTAAGTCGCAGTGGTCCCCTTTCCTCCATAAACAGAATTTAAAATAAAAAGACAGTAAACCAAAAATAATTGCGATGAAACCCATCAAAAATCCAACTCTCCATGAAGATGGCTTTAATGTCTTTTTTCCTCCCTCAATCCATTAAGAATGACCTTTTCTCCAGGCAAGGTGCCCTGAGTACTTGCTGGCTCTGGGCTGAGCCATGACCATGGCCCAGTGTCTGCAGATGACTGACTGAGTCCAGGGCTGCCCACCAGCTTTGTCCCTATCTCCTGCCCAGGCTCAGCTCCAGGGGTCTCCCAGCAGGGCCTATGCCTGTCCAGGGCAGCTGCCAAAGGTCAAGGCTGAGGCGGGCAAACAGTGCCAACAGAGCCCGGGTCTTACCCTGGCCCTGCGGCAGACTGCGGGGACCCGGGGGCTGCACATTCGCACGCTGACCACCCTGGACCTGCTTCCCCGCTTCTGGTGGAGAGTGAGAGATCCCTACTCCGCTGCAGCTGCCACCAGAGGACTGAGGACACCCAAGCAGGCCCGGCACACTGGCCGCGGAGGGGGCTCAGCCCTGTGCACAGCCCCTCTTGGCCTCCCTGAAGCCCAGCCTGTGAACTCTTGGGCCGGGCATGCCTTGGCCAGCACCTCCCCCGCAGTTTGTGCCCCCTCCCAGCGCCCCTCTCCCCAACGATGCCGGCTATTGAGGGACAGAGCCATCCTATCTGTGCTTCCCACCGCAGCCCTGAGTGCTCCAGTGTCCCGATTTTCTGAGGAGGCTGGTGTGGCTGTGACCCTGAGTACTGAGCATTCAACAGAGGTCAGGAAAGAAGGGGGGTTGTTACCCAGGGCCACTCTGGGCGCTGAGTTGTTTGATATCCTCAGAGCCTCACAGCTGCCCAAATGGAGAGGTAGGGACCAAGCCTGAGATGAGGAAGATTCAAGAAGTGACCCCGCAGCCCTGGGGCCCTGGCACTTTCTGTGCTGCCAGGCTGCTCCTCTGTGGATGACTCTCCTGATATCACTGTAGTGAGATGCAGTCCCTGCAGAACCTTTCCACGCCCTTCTGTTTTTCAGTAAAAAAGCTGAGTTAAAGCAGCGTTGAGTGAAGCTTTCCCCTTGCAGGTTGCTGATTTCTCTGGGCCTCATCTGATCTGCAAGTGGCACTTGATGAACACAGGCCAAGGATGAGCGTTTCTCCCAATGGTCCCAACTCTGGGGTCTGCAGCCTGTCCCTGTTGTTCACGTCCTGTGGGACCCCCACCTGCCACCACCACACAGCCTGCAGGAGTTTGCATTTGTCCTGGGAGAAAGCAGCAGCTGCCTCTTGTTGGACGCCTTTCTTCCTTGGTGACTTACGCTCTTCGCATGTGTGTTCCTCAGTCTGAGGAAGATAAGACACAGTCACCCTAAAAACTTTCTCTCCACTGTGGAACTTCCTAAGGACTTGTCTACACCCTACGTCACTGACTGGACCCCAGGATGGAGCTATGGGGCGTGGGGAACTGAGGGTCCCCACTCTGCCAGAAAGGTAGAGAAAGGTAGTCCATCTGGTACTCCACCAAGCAGCAATCTGGTTACATGGTATCAAATGCAGAACCAGCTGGGCCTTTCTTTTTCCTTTTTTGGGAAAACATGTTTAAGAAGAAAACTGTATTTGGTAGAACTCTCATAAAACCCAAGAAGCCAGGGGTTGTGAGGGGAGCAGAGAGGTATTTACCATCATTACAGTGGATAGTATGTATTTGTTCAGGATTGTATCTATTTCAACTAGGTTTTCTAATTTATTGACCTATAATAAAACATAGTTCTTGCTAGATAAAATGGCGCATGCCTGTAATCCCAGCATTCAGGAGGCTGAGACAGCAGGATTGTCATGAGTTTCAGGCCAGCCTGGGCTACATAAGCAAGTTCAAGGCTAGCCTGAACTACATCGCCTGTTTCAATAAATAAATAAATAAATATTCCTAATCCTAATCCTCTGCAATTTTTCTTTTTAATTTGCATTTCCCACTTTTCTCCTTATGAGAGGCCTGACTCTCCACCTGTCCAAAGTACTGGTTTGGGTTTTATCTCTCATTTCCCCCTCTGTGACATGAATTTCTGCCCCATCTTTATTTATATTTCCTTCTTTCTTTCATTCATTCTTTCTTCTTTGGGTCTGTGTTCCTCAGATTTTCAGATTACTTCTGTATTTGTTTGCTAGGGCTGCAATAAAAAGCACCACAAATGGAGTAGCTAAAGTAATGATGACTATTTGCTCACAGCTTTGGGGTCTGGAACCCCAGGGTGTCAGCTGGGCTGCTTCCATCTGGTCTGTGGCTCACTTCTGGCTGCTGTGGTTTGTGGGCAAAGGTTGGCATTTCTTAGCTCGAAGTACATCCTCCTGACTCCACCTTCCTCTTCTCATGGCCTTCTCATGTGTTTATACCATCATCTATGTGTAGATAGTCCTCTCCTGTGTGTGTGTGTGTGTGTGTGTGTGTGTGTGTGTGTGTACCAAAGGCTTCACATGTACTAGGCAAGCACAAGGGCTAGAGCTGGAGCTGTACTGTGCCCCTAGCCCTAATTTAATTTGACTCAGTTTCATTTTCAGACTTTCCCAGGCTGGTCATGAATTTGGGATCCTCTTTCCTCAGCCTCCCAAGTAGCCCATCCCTGTTCAGCTCAAATTTTCCTTTTTAAAAAAAAATTTATTTTTATTTTAAAGAGAATAAAACCAAACAAAATAAAGAAGAAAGCCAATCAAAACAGTGTAAATGATACAGGACTTCAAAACAGGATAATAGGAAATTAGAACAGAATAAAACCAATCAAAACAGAACACTGACTAAAACAAAACAATAAAATGGAATAAAAACAAAATACAACAATCTTGGATTTCAAAAATAAGACAGAAGGAAATTCCCCATAGTTGCTGTATTGCATGTTGCTATACTCTAAATAGATGCTCAGACTACCTGCTTTAGGCTTGCAAAGTCAGTCAAACAATTCAAGCATTACATTGTTTTTGTATCTCAGCTGCTATCAATTCAGCTTGTGTTCCTCCAAATCAGCTGGTTGCTTGGTGGGGAAGGGCCCCAAAGCCCAGCATGGCTTCTGCTGACTCAAGGGGAAGGCAAATTGGCTTGTTCCTCCTCCTGGGCCTTGCACGGCTGCCACAGGCTCACAGGAAAGGCGAATTGGCTTCTTGTTTCTCCTCCTGAGACTCAGATGGTTGTCACTGGCTCACAAAAAGGGAAAATTGGCTCCTTGTTTCTCTCCCTGGCCCCTGCATGGCTGTTTCTGGTTCGTAGGACAAATTTCCCTTTTTATAAGAGCATCACCCTGGGAGCCCAGCCTGTCCCAGTATGACCATATCTTAACTAATTACAGCTACCACAACAATAGTTCCAAGTAAGATCACTTGCACAGTGCCTAGTGTTTAGGACTTCTGCATATTGCTGTTGGCACAACACAGTTCAGACTGTATGTAATACTTTGTTATAGTAACTTGTATGTGTCATTTGGCAGGGCTACAGTGCCTAGATATATGATCACACATTCTGAATATTTTCTATGCTTTCTATTTTTTGGACAAGATTAACATTTAAAATAGTGGACTCTTGAGTAAAGCAGATTTCTACCCATAATATGGAAGGATGCATCTCACCCAATTGCTTAATACAGACTGACCTCTCCCAAGGAGTCCTGCCAGTAAGATACCTCTGGACTTGACTGCAGAATTTGGACTTGCCAACCACGTCATGGGAGCCAATTCTCTCTCCTCTCCTCCTCCTTTTCTTCTCTCTCCATCTCTCTAACACGAAAACATACAAACTCAAATGTTGTTGCTTTTTCTCTGAAGACCCTAATGTTTGCTTTTAACTTTGTTTCTTAACTCTATTTTAATTTGTTCCTGCCAGATTTCAAGGAACTTGTCCCTTATTCTCTCTCTATATTCACCACATAGAGATGCTCAGTGAATGCTTATCATCTGAATGGAGCATGCACCTAGCTGTGCTCTAGGCAGAGCCACATGTGTCTCACCAGAAATATTTTATTTATTTATTCATTTATTTATTGTCTTTTGGGGGCAGGGTCTCACTATGTAGTTCAGGCTGGCTTTGAGCTGGCTTTGAGCTGGCTTTGAGCTGACTTTGCTGCCCAGGCAGGCAGTGATCACAGGCATGTACCACCACACCTGACTCCACACCAGAAATATTTAGACTGTCATGTCTTCTCTTCTCTCAAACATGAGGGGCAGGTTGAGCTTGATGATTAACTGTGAAGAAAAGATTTCCAGAGAAATTTAATGGGAAAGCACTACTTTCGAGAAGGAAAGACAACTCTAACAACTGTCTTGGCATCACTAACCACTAAAGTTGAAAATTTGATGGAATTTAGTTTTCATACTTGACAGAGACCCCTACTTACACATGTAACACCACAACTACAGTCACGATGTGTGGTTTGAATTGTCCCCACAGGCTGTGCTACACTACATCTAACCTTCCCACGTGCGCCACAAAGTCACCTTAAAAGTTTTACTCCTATGGAAAAATATCATTTTTCAAAATTACAGTTTGATTTTTGTGAGTGTCCAGCTTTCAGATATGTTGAATCAATTAAGTGAAACTTTAATAGCCAAAGACAAGGGAATTTTGGCAGTAAGCAAACAGGATTTTTCAAAGAACCCAAAGTAGTGGGAGTTGTCATTGTCAATGAAAGGGGATTTTTTTTTTTTTTTCACAACCCAAAAGAGGTCTTACCTGAAAACCTCGGGTTAGGTCCCTAAATCGGACGGTCCTTGCCTCTCCTTCCGAGATCTTAGATGAACAGAATCCTTGTCACAATCAAAAGGTTGACAGGTTTTTCCCATGTACAGATTAACATGGCGCTGGACAGCGCCTCATTGCATTCTCACGAACCCAAACGTTAAACCTCCCGCCTTTTCAGCAAGCGCCAATGCTCCTCCAATCATATGTCAATAGTCATTCCGCCCACTCCTGTAACCCCATTCCCGTCAATTCCAAATAAAGCCCAAGGTCCCCCCCCCCCCCGCCCTGAACCTTCTAGAGACTACTTGCCTCTCTTTGGCAGCCCTCTCGTCCCCCGCAATTAAAGGCTTCTTTTCTTTCTTTTTTCTCTTTCTTTCTTTCTTTCTTTCTTTCTTTCTTTCTTTCTTTCTTTCTTTCTTTCTTTCCTTCCTTCCTTCCTTCCTTCCTTCCTTTCCTTCCTTCCCTCCGCCCTTCCTTCTCTCTTTTTCTGTTTTCTCTCTTTTTCTGTCCCGCGCTCAAAGGACCAAACAAAGGTCACGGCTGTGAAGCAGTAGGTGGTGCTTTCGAGCGCAGCCAGTTCTGACGCAGGCCGCGCAGTCTGTAAAGCCGAGCGTTCCTCACAAAGTCCAGGAAGGTCCGGAACGGAGGCTGATGGCGGTCTCCCGGCTTGGTGTGGCGGGCGCGGCAGGCGCAGCGCGGGTCCCGGGAGCCGTCTCCCCCGCCGCTTCGCACAGTCCGAAGTCAGGGCGCGGCAGGCCGAGAGGACGACCGGGCCGCGGCCCGGGAGCTCCGAGTCCCCCGACCTCCTCAGGGGCCGCCGCCGCCGAGCGCTCCCGCAGACTAGGGTTTCCCGGCGGCGGCCTGAGACGCGCGTGGGGGCGCCGCGCAGGGTCTGGAAGGCTTTGCGGAGACCTGCGTGTTTGTCTTTCCCTTCAGCGACCGTCTGCAGCCCTCTTCTCACCAAGTTACTGGCCGCCGGCCCCAGGAACGAGAGCGAGAGAGCTGAGGGCCGGGGCAGAGGCGGCCAGGGTCGCAGGCGGGAGGAAGCCGCCGCGCGGTGCGGTGGTGCCGAGCCCGGCTGAGACCCCGCCAGGCCAGGAGGCCCCACGCAGTGGGGCACCGCGCCTCTGCTGGCCTGCAGGGCCCCTCCCGGGACCGGCAGCGAGGAGCGGGGAAAGCGGGCGTGGGCGGGCAGCGCCACTCCCGACCCTGCGCGGTGCCCCCTAGCCCGGCCTCTGCTCGGCTTGGGTTGGGGTCGGGGTCTGGGGTCTGGGGTCTGGGCAGGGGGGGGGGGGCGCGAGAACGGGGCGGGGCAAAGGCGGTGGCGAAGAGTGATGGCCTCAGCCTGGTACTCCCCAAGTCTGGTACTCCCCGAGTTGCTGGCTCTGAGCCCCGGGGCTCAGGCTGCGCAGGCTTCTAGCTTGATTCTTGGGGAGGTATGTTTAGCAATACGGTTTCCCTTCATGTGTTGTTTTAACTGTGAGCCACAAGTTAGCATTTTTTATTATTTCTTAATTTCCCTTATTTTTTAAAACTAACATTACTTAATTTGCAAACATATGTATTTTGTTTTTTTACGTGACAGAATCTCCCTGTAATACAGACTAACCTTGAAGTCACTTACAGAAGCTGGGCTCAACCTGGGGCAATCCTGAGAGCTGGGATTACAGTCCTCCGCCACTATGACTGGCTAATGTATGGAATTTTAAAGCATGTTTTTGCTATTTTTATTTTAGCTAGAGGACACACTTTTGGTGGCTTCCTTCAGTGCCCAGAATGTTTTTGTGAATGTTCGCAGTGTGTTCAAAAAAGAATCACTTAAGTGTATTAATTTTATTATTGCCCAGGCAGAACTCAAACTTTCGATTTTTCCTCAGCCTCCTTGGGTACCAGGATTACTGGCATTTCTGCCACTTATTTTTTAATCTGTTTACTGGTTTCTAAAAAGTTTTTGCTTTGTTTTTTTCTTTTTGAGGCAGGGTTTCACTATGAAATTCAGGCTAAGGGCTGGGGATTTTGCTCAGTGGCATAAGCACCTGCCTTGCAAGTGCACAGTTGTGAGTTCGATCCCCGGTACCAAAAGAAAAGAAATTCAGGCTGGCCTTGAACTTAATTTGTAGCCCTGGCTAGCCTCAAATTTGCACTAATCCTCTTGCTTCAGTCTCCCAGGAGCTAGGATTATAGGTATGTGCCACCACACCCAGCCTAAATTTAAAAAAAAAAAAAAAAAACCACAACTATTATAATTGTTTTTTTCTATCCTTTTATCAAGTGCTGTTTTATATATTCTGAGGTTATATGATAGGGCACCTATTATTTTATGATGATTATGTCTTTTTTTCTGTCTAATGGAAAGCAAAGGATGATAAAGTATCATGTGCAGAGGGCCTGGGATTTAGCTCAGTGGGGTAAATGCCTGCCTGGCAAGCATGAGATCATGAGTTCAATCCCTTGTACAAAAAAAAAAAAAAAAAAAAAATCATGTGTATGTGTGTATGCATGCTCTGCCAGTGCAGAGCATACTCACTTGTCCCTTCCCCAAATCACTACAGGGATGGGTCCTGCAGGCAGGTCTCAGGCTGGCCTCTACCCTGTGACTACTGATAGATCATTAACTCGAGTCCTGGTGTCCCTGCTGTTCCCTGAGCAACAGCTCTGGGCTGACAGTCTGGGCAGAACCACTATGTCTTCCTTTCCTATCAGCTGGACTGTGCCATGCTGCCTGAGAATGCTGACCATCTTTCTTGGCTTTCAGACTCCTAGCACAGAACCTACAGAAAAAGTAAACCATTTGGGCTGGCAGCTTTTAATCCCAGCCACATTCTAAAAACGAAAGGGTGAGTTGTGAAAATAATGTCCAGAGCTGGGGGTGTGACCCAGTGACACAAGGTAGCTTGGGCTACCTTTAGGGTTAGAGTTAGCTTCAGTGTGTGTGCACACACACAAAACAGAAGAAAGAAAAAAAAAAAAGCTGGGTCTGCCCCAGGCCCATCCCAGATCAGTGAAATTAGTGCATGTGAGAGGGGAGAGAGGGGCTGGACTGTCACTGAGTGCTCCCTGGAAGAGTCACATGTGCGCCAACTGAAAACAGTGGGGCAGCCCCTGCCCCTCCTCCAGGACCCCCATCTTCAAGAAGCCTGAGCTAGATAAACCCTTCCTCTAAGTTAGCTTGCCTTCAGTGACAGAAGACAAGGAATCCACCACTGCATAGTTTTCCCAAAAGAAAGATTTCTTCCATGCCCAGAGAGAAATGATCTGCCGAGACCAGACAGACAGCTGGATTAGTTTTCTACTTTGAGTGATTTTCTCAGCTTTGTCTTCGTTACTCAATGATTTCAAACCAGGATGTCCTGACTTCTTTCTCTCTCATCCAGTTATGCCTATAAGGACAAGACAGTGCCTTCTGTATGGACATTTAACATCTGTCCTCCCCACTCCAAGATGGGGTTTCCTCCTGCCTCAGCCTTGCATGACTGGGACCATAGCACCAATCGAAGGCCTTCTCACACCACTCTTCCTTACTTAGCTTCTTCAAATAAACTGTGAATTAACTCTAAACAATACCTCCTAGGTCTCTGGCTACTTTCCCACCTAAAAGGTGTCACAACAGCCACCTTCAGGGAACAATAGAGACCAAGGAAAAGCCCTTGGCTTTGGAGTCAGACCTTGATTCCAACCTTGGCCTTGGCATAAGCCTTCCTGAGTCTTCCGCGCCTCCTCCAGGGCTCTCTATGGAAGGAGTTAAGCTCCAGCTTCAGGATCCATGACTTACATACATGTGCTCTTCCCAAGGCCTTGGGAAAGACTCCTGCAGTGCTTTGGCTACATTTTCTGTTCTTTTTAAAAAGAGAGCACACCCTCCTACTGTATCAGCTTTAGTATCTGCAAAGCTTGGAACTTCTCTTCTCTGTCCTTTGGGAGTTAAGTAAGATTCAAGTCATAAAGTGTGGCATACAGCAGATGCTCAATAAATACTACTTCTGTGCAGAACAGTCCAGAAAAGATGACACACAGACATAACTGCAGGCCAATGAGCTTACTGTGTGCCCCTTTAATGGCCCACACACTGCCACCCAGCAGCCCAGTCCCACTGCAAGAGGCCTGGGGTCCAGAGATGAGTGAGGCAGCTATAGCACGTGATTGCGGGGGACACCACCCTTGCCCGTGATGTGGCTGTTGATCCAGTCAAGATAGCGACTGACTTTGGTGTAGACACCATAGTTGTTAGGGACCCCACACCCCTCACCCCAGCTCACCAGGCCCACCAGGAACCAGGTGCCTTGGAAGGAGGCAACCATGGGCCCTCCACTGTCACCGTCACAGGCGTCTCGGGAATCCCCGAGGATGCCGGCACACAGCATGTTCTCCGACACCACACTGTTCATGACCTGGGTACATTCAGTGTGAGGAGCCACAGGAATCCGGATGGAGTTGAGAATGGAGGTGGGGTTTCTCCTGGTATCTCCCTTCCGCTCAGACTTGTAGCCCCAGCCCGTCACCACTGTCTCTTGGCCAGCCTGCGTGAGCTCCCGTTCCGCAAGGCCGCTGTCTGGAAGGCAGATGGGCACGATGGTCTTGGAGAGGATGGTGGGCTGGGCCAGGTGGAGCAGTGCAATGTCGTTGTTGGTGGTTCTCCGGGTATAGTTGGGGTGGATGAAGATCTCCTTGATGTCCAATTCCACCTCCCCCTTGTCTCTACGCCTCAGGTCATATTCACCTGCAGGGCAAAGGGCGCTGTCAGTGGCGGGGGCCTCCCATGGCTGTGGGCCTATGAGTCTGCAGGCCTGTGTGTGACTTGAGCTGGGCCTAAAGCAGGACAGTGGTCACAAGCCACTGAGCTGTGCCTTGGATCCTTTTCAAGAAGGACTTTTACTGACAGATGGAATGGTCTATGGGTGTCCACCTCAAAGGGACAGAATGCTGGCAAGATGCTGGTCTGGATTTAGGACTCACAAAGGAGCAGTGAGACGAAGCAAGCCTGGGGCTCTGGGACATGTGGAACTACATGTCCTGGGATCTAACTGGCGCTCTCCAAGTCTGGTCTTGGTGCCATTGAGGATCCCGGGAACTAACTGGCTCTCTCCCCTTCTGGTCTCGGTGCCATTGACGATTCTGGGATCTAACTGGCGCTCTCCAAGTCTGGTCTCGGTGCCATTGAGTATCCCAGGAACTAACTGGCTCTCTCCCCTTCTGGTCTCGGTGCCATTGACGATTCTGGGATCTAACTGGTGCTCTCCAAGTCTAGTCTCGGGCTGGGGCAATGAGGGCAGGAGCAGCAAGACCCACAGAGGAGAACGAACAGGACAGAGCAACCGAGGGAGCAGAGGTATCAGGACCACAGGTAAGAGACAGGTCCCTTCCAGCCCAGTCCAGTGGTCCTTGGAAAACGGCATGGAAATCCCACACTGGCTCCCAGGCCTCTGGCCACTGGTTGTGCTGAAGATGACTAAGGAGCCTGAATTTGGACATGCTCAATGTACCTTCCCCTTCCTTTTTCCCTCCAGGAACTGTTAGGGTGTGGGGCCTCTGCCTGGTGACCCCCAGGGTGCTGAAGCGGCATGTGAGCAGGAGTGAGGAGCCCAGGATGTACTGGCCCCTTCACCTCCGATAAACACTCAGACTGACTGCCGCAGGCCCTGCATGGTCCCTTCCCGCTCAGCTCACAGGTGCCTAGGCCTGTTTCTCTAAATTGCTGGTATGGTACAAGTTCCCTGGGACCAGAGTTTTCCAAACTGACAGCCTGCCTAGATGTCCTGTGCCACTCCCACCCCCACTCCCACCCCTACCCCCACCCCCACCCTGCTGCAGCCCGAACCGAGCCTGACGGTGAGCTTCCGGGACCCGTCCATGCAGTGGGCCGCAGTCAGCACCCAGGAGCTGTGGATGAGCACCCCACCACAGGACAGCTTCTTCTTGGAGTCCAGCAAGATCACCTGGAATGGCAGCCGCAGTAGCACAGGGTTGACCTGACAACTCCCAGCATAGGCCTTGGGCCCCATTCTTAAGGATCTCTATCCTGGGCCACATGTGCCTCTTTGGCCCTCCCAAAAATGACCTGCCCAGAAATGGCCTCCATGCCCTGCTCCCTGCCTGGCTCCCCTAGCCCACAGCCCATCTGCCAGTTGCTGGCCCTGTGATTACCACTCTTTCCCTGCTCTGTCCTCTTCATCCCTGCTTGCCCTCAGCAGCCCCCCCCCCCACCCATTCACTTCCAAGCAGGAACAACCAGGAGGCTCTGGCCTTGGACCAGCAGATGACAGGCTGCTTTGCCTATCCACCCACCTGCCAGGGGCTCTCTCCAAGTTTGGTCTCCGTGCCGTTGACGATCCTGGGATCTAACTGGTGCTCTCCAAGTCTGGTCTTGGTGCCATTGAGGATCCCGGGAACTAACTGGCTCTCTCCCCTTCTGGTCTCGGTGCCATTGACGATTCTGGGATCTAACTGGCGCTCTCCAAGTCTGGTCTCGGTGCCATTGAGTATCCCAGGAACTAACTGGCTCTCTCCCCTTCTGGTCTCGGTGCCATTGACGATTCTGGGATCTAACTGGTGCTCTCCAAGTCTAGTCTCGGTGCCATTGACGATCCTGGGAGCTAACTGGCTCTCTCCCCTTCTGGTCTCGGTGCCATTGAGGATCCCGGGAGCTAACTGGCTCTCTCCCCTTCTGGTCTCAGTGCCATTGACGATTCTGGGATCTAACTGGCGCTCTCCAAGTCTGGTCTCGGTGCCATTGAGGATCCCAGGAGCTAACTGGCTCTCTCCCCTTCTGGTCTCCGTGCCATTGAGGATCCCAGGAGCTAACTGGCTCTCTCCCCTTCTGGTCTCAGTGCCATTGACGATTCTGGGATCTAACTGGCGCTCTCCAAGTCTGGTCTCAGTGCCATTGAGGATCCCAGGAGCTAACTGGCTCTCTCCCCTTCTGGTCTCAGTGCCATTGAGGATCCCAGGAGCTAACTGGCTCTCTCCCCTTCTGGTCTCGGTGCCATTGAGGATCCCAGGAGCTAACTGGCTCTCTCCCCTTCTGGTCTCGGTGCCATTGAGGATCCCAGGAGCTAACTGGCTCTCTCCCCTTCTGGTCTCGGTGCCATTGAGGATCCCAGGAGCTAACTGGCTCTCTCCCCTTCTGGTCTCGGTGCCATTGAGGATCCCAGGAGCTAACTGGCTCTCTCCCCTTCTGGTCTCCGTGCCATTGAGGATCCCAGGAGCTAACTGGCTCTCTCCCCTTCTGGTCTCGGTGCCATTGAGGATCCCAGGAGCTAACTGGCTCTCTCCCCTTCTGGTCTCGGTGCCATTGAGGATCCCAGGAGCTAACTGGCTCTCTCCCCTTCTGGTCTCGGTGCCATTGAGGATCTCAGGAGCTAACTGGCTCTCTCCCCTTCTGGTCTCGGTGCCATTGAGGATCTCAGGAGCTAACTGGCTCTCTCCCCTTCTGGTCTCCGTTCCATTGAGGATCCTGGGACCTAACTGGCTCGCTCCGCTGCTCTCAGTGCTGTTGATCATCCTTGGATCTAATGGTTCATCTTGATTTTCTTGCTCTACTTGGTTTGTGTCGCGTTTGTAGTTACTTCGCTTCTTCTCTACTTGCATCTGTATCCTCCCACATGGGAATATCACTGAACACAGAGGGAGGTAGTAAGGAGCCCTCCCATCTTGGTGCACCTCCTGCCTGTGGGCTACATTGCTACACTGTAGGATTCAAAGTTTGTTATGTGGTAGGATTCAAAAGATAAATAATGTTTAGAACAGTCAATATTAGCTGTGAAGCCCCCCAATTGTCAGTTAGTCAGTCAGTCAACAAACAGTGCCACCTAAGAGCAAGATGGACCAAGCCACCCACATGTGTTCTTTCACAGGTTGTGAGGTTTCTCAGATGTTTATCATACCCCAGAGCTGTTGAGGAATCGTCCCTGAGATACATGAATAAAGTTTCCTGATGGGTGCTGCCAGGCTCCTAAAAGAGGTGAAAATGATGGGGAGGAGGAGGTGAACACTTAGCCTAAAGCAGCTCTGAGCCAGGAGGAGAAGTCTCTCCTGAGAGAAGAGTGCACATGGTAGAGAGGAGACACCTGGGTGGTTACTCAGGATCTGCTCCTAATTGTCCTTGAACTCTAGACTGGGGACTTGAGACTTTTGCAGCAGTGGGACAGTGGCAGGGGAAAAACAGCAGGGAAGGGAGAGCAGAACAAAGCTCCAGAAGCCCACCAGACTCATGCGGCGGACCTGACCCAGGGGGCAGCACACCCTGCTCAGCCAGTGACAGTGTAGCACAGCCTGCCTCCTCCAGGTACTGTCCAGCCCTTCTCCCTGCTCAGCACCACTCCTGCCCACAGCAGGCCCACAGACACCAGCCATTCTGCTAGTCTGCTCCAAGAAGCTGGAGGCCAGGCAGGAACCCTCCAGCATGACCTCTCCAACCGCACTAAATACCAAGCGCTAAGGCCAGCACAGCAGGGCTCTACCAATGACCATAGCCTTCTGGTGGCCGGCGAGAAAGCCCACAGGCCCAAGAATTTACTGGTCATTTCTCCACAACTGCCTGTGAACCTCTTACCACTTCAAAGCACCAAGCTTAAAAAAATGAGTTGCAAAAGTGTTATAAAGTTGTGAAAAATTCTCTGGAAAAATACACAGTGAGTTCAAGTCCGGCCCTGAATTACATATCAGGACCGTGTCTGAAAAAAAATATTATAAAGGAACGCAGAATCAGGATTCTGTTCTCTCCTGGGGAAGCTAAGAGTAAAGATCAAAAGAGGATACACCACTAACAAGGTGCGCAGAAGAAATCAAACACCTTCTGCTGTATTTGTCTCTGGGCAGACGGACCTGGATGGAGCACGGCAAGCAAGCAGGTGAGCAAAAGGAAACCGCGCCCAGGCCCGCCCTCGGCTCTCTCGCGCTCACCCACGGGCTCGCACTGCAGGTGGTCATCCGCCAGCTTGTAGTCTGGTGCGCAGCTGCAGCGCCGTGCATCCCCCTCCACCAGGCAATAGTGTGCGCAGCCACCGTTGTTCACCGAGCAGTTGCTGTAGCTCACTTCTGCAGGGACTCCAGTCAGCTCTGGGCCCCAGGACATTGCCCAGGGCCCCAGTCCCGCCCCAAGACCCCTGGCCACACCACTCACCACTCACCATTCTGGCAGAAGCGGCCCTCCCATCCCGCTTTGCAGGCGCAGGTAAAGCTGCCCAGGCCGTCGATGCACACGCCGTGCTCACAGCAGGGGCTGGCACACTGGTGCTCCGGGGGCAGGTTTGCACACTGGTCACCGTCTGCGACACGCGGTGGTTGGGAAGTGGAGATCAGCAGTTTCCCCAGCTCCCTGCTCAACTGGCAGTGTCTACAGACCCAAGGGGAGCCCCCCGCCGAGTGTAAGGCACTCACCGAAGTATGTGGACCAGAAAGCCAGCTGTGGGGAGAGGGGCGGCGTTGGCGGCAGTCAGGCGCTTTGCTGCTCCTGGCTGTGACCCCGGGCACACGACAGGATGGGTCCAGCCAAACAGGTCACCGATTGATTGATGGTCATCAGCTGCTAGCAACTAGCTGGCCTTGCTCCTTTCCCCACCCCACTTCCACTCTACAGACCATCAAAAACACCCTTTCATGGCTTCCTGCAGCTGGCACCCCGCTAACAGGGCTGACTCCTCCCTCCTGCAAGGGCTTCTGCAGGGACAGCAGGGATCCCGTCTACATCAGCTACTCTGCCTGATGGGTTTTTTTTTTGTTTTTTGTTTTTTTTTTATACATCTAGTCTTCCGTAAGCCAGAGCTGCCAACCCAGATAGTCTAGGTCCACAGTCTAGTTTTCAACTACATTGTAGCAGCGGCAGCTGCTGCTGGTTTTGACCTTTAGGCTAGAGAGTACCCAGGCCTCACCTCTGCTCTCCTGATCCCTAGAGTGACTCCCCTGTGAGTATGAGCCAGGCACAGCATAGGTGTGGGCAGCCCTCAGAGCGTCTCTGTCACACAGTGCTGCCAGTGCAAGGGTGAAAATGGCATGTAGCCTTGTGGTAAGCAGAATGTAGTGGCTGCTGGTGGGTGGACTGACCCCCCTGACAGGAGTGCCTGCTGGGAGTCTAAGCCTAGAGCTGCTGCAAACTTTTTCCTGGCACTCATTGCATAAGTCAGCCCCTTGTGCCCTGACCAAGACCATGAGACCAGAGTCTTCCCAGCTACCCCTTGAGCTGGGAGGAAGAGGGGCTGGTACCCACCGCCCCACACCGGATTCCCATAAGAGTCTCTCCCATTGGTCCCCACTTGCTCATCAGGGTTCTAGCCACATCACCCCTCACCAAGCCTCACTCTCTGGGCCTAGTTGGTGGCCTTACAGTGGCATCCACAGTTTGGAAAATTTCTTTGGCCTCCTCGAAGTCACAGATCTCCTCGTAGCACTCACGCTCCAGGTTGCCAGGCCGGACCTCCTCCAAGAAGGCGTTAGCGCGTTTTCGGATCCGCAGCACCTGGTGGGCGCGCTGGCTGCTGGAGAACACTGAGTCTGGATTTGGGGGGAGGGCAGCTCACTGTGCGGGACCACAGGGGTCCCAGGAAGCCAGGTTGGGGACAGCCAAAGAGGCCCTCGGAGCTCAGTCTAATTCCTGATAATGCTCCTCTTTTCTGTCCCTGTCTGCAAGCAGCAGGTGACTGTAGGGAGACAGGAGCCCTGTCTGTTCAGAGACAAGCCCTATGAGTCCCAGCTTGACTGTGTGACCTGCACCCTGTGTGTTTTTAACTCTTTACAGCTTGGTTTCCTCATTCAGAGGCCCTATGGATGCAATGGGCATGTACAGAGCCTGGTGAGGAAGTACTACTCAGTGACAAACGCTGCTGCTACCAAGACTGCAAAGTTAGATCAGTATCATTCTCTAGCATACACGCACAATCCCTCCCTGCCTCATCACAGACAGTGTCTCCCCTCCCTCCACACCATCTTCATCTCTTCCCTTGCCCCAAAATACCCGGGAGACCCAGAGACCTGTGGCCCAAGGCCTGTGGCCCAGTGCTTGTCACTGCATGTCTCCTGGGCCTGGCAGGTGTCTGTCTTGGCCAGGGGATGTGAGGAGGGAGGAACTGAGCCACGGGAGTAGGCAGGAGTGTTTGGAGGAGGGGGAGGGAGAGGCTCCTGAGCTGAGGTATGGCAGGGCAAGGGTGGAAAGAGGCCTCAGGCAGAACCGCAGCTTAGGAAAAGGCACAAAGACAGACTTAGGTCTCACGGTACTCCTGGAGAAGCACGGCTGCCTCAAGTTGGCTGTGGGGTACGGGAGGGGCATTTTAGGTGAGACACATGTCCGGGAGGAGCCTGGGCCAAGCCCATCACCCTGAGGGAGCAAGTGGTAGCATGGGAAGGCCCAGGAAGTCTGTGGCCCTCAAGCCTGCCATTACCTACATTACCCTAACAGCCCTACCTGGTACAACTGGGCCTTGCCAGCCAACTCCTGCTGCCCCTGCCTCCCCTTAGCTCCCTGAAGCTCAAAGATGGGGGAAGGTCTGAGGGCCAAGGCTTCCAGAGTCCTGACCATGCCTTGATATTTGAGGATTCCCTGGGGGACTGCAGAGTATGGGAAGGTGGCCTTACCGGAAGGGACTGGTTTGCCAGAAATGCCCCAAATGGCCAGGAACAGCAGCAAGCCTGCCAGGCGCCACATTCTGCCGTCGTCGAAGCCGTCTAGGAGGAAGCTGAATGCAGGAGCCCTGTGTGCCCGAGCTTAGGACACATGCTGCGGCCCGTGGATTGTGGCACTAGGCCTGGGGAAGGCCAGCTGTGCTCGGGTTGGCAGCAGGGTCTGGCTTCTCTGACCCCAAGCTCTAATTCAAGGAGTCACCTCCACAGGGTATGCCCTTTTCCTCCCCTCCCTCCACACCGCCATCCTGCCTAGAGGGGACTTACAGGGGTGGGCCCTGGAGAGACTGCAAGTCTACTTCCCTACACCAGGAAGGCCTGGAACTCGGTTAATCCATAACCAGGAAGAGGCCACCCTCTCCCCAGAAAAACAAACAAGTGGTGCTGACACTGGTCCTGACCCCTGACACCCGGGTCATCCGAGCTCTCCTCTGGCTATGAGAGTGCCCTCTGGGAGTGCAGTGTGGGGTGGGGCTGGCACCCTTAAAACCCTTGATGGATGTGGTGTCTTTTTACCTCAGAATGGTAGCCAAAGAAGGGATGTTTAATTGCAAAATACGGCAGTTCGTCTGTCATCAACACAACAGATAATAGTTTCATTTCATCATCAAATATAGGGTTTATGTGCCACTATAAAAGAAAAAGGTCTGTCACGCCATGCCGATATCTTTTCTTTCTCCTCCCTGCAGCAGGGTTGGAATCCAGGGAATGATGAGCTTTTTCTCTTCTCCTCCCCATCGACCCCTTCCCCCTTCTTCTCTTTCAGCAGGACACAGCTAAGTAAGCTGCCCAGGGTGGCCTTGGACTTGGAACCCTCCTGCCTCAGACTCCCCAGTAACTGGGATCACAGGCATGCGCCATCGCACCAGCCTTAATGGATGGCAGTTTTCCAGGGAATACTGGCCATGCTTCAGGAGTTTGGGGTTCTGGGGCCTCCTTCTACAGGTGGTTTGGAGTTCTTGCTGTCCTGAGCAAAGAATCGGTCAAGACAAGAGCAAAAGGTATCCAGGACACGTGCTCCGCAGAGGGCATTTAGGTCAAGTAAAAGAAAAACGAGCCGTTTCGTGAACGTGAGAGTAAAAGACAAGGACTCTGCAAAGGCTGCGGGGAGTTCCTGGCCGGGATGTTAGCAAAGCGACGGGCAGAAGGAGAGGCCGGCTCCGACGGGCCCTGCCACGCCCTGCCGTCCGCGGGCCTTCGCGAAGCACTTTTCCTCGCGGGGCGACCCACACCTCTCCCGGCCCCGCCGCCGCCCCGGGACCCGGCCCTGCGGCCCCTCCGAGGCCGTGCGCCCTGCGCTGCTGGCAGGGCGCTTGCACAGGGATGGCCTGACCAGTCCAGGCGGTGCCGGCTTCAGGTCCCTCTGCGGGCCAACCGGCCTCGGACGGTTTTGAAGCCAGGGCCCGGCCCCCCTCGGCCCCAGGGGAGAAAGGAGGCGACAGGAAGGCGGGCGTGGGGGAGGGGAGGGGGAGGGGAGAGGGAGGGGTGGGGCAGGGAGGCCGGAGCAGGCGGCGCCCGGCGTTTCCGGCTTGTGCGAGGCTTTGCGGGGCCGGGCCGGATTGGGCGCCGATCCCGCCGAGGAGACAGCTGCAGCGCTCCCTGGCCAGTGCGGGGAGCGGCCGAGCCGGAGCTTGCCTATAGGCGGCGCCAACCTCCTCCTCGGCCCGCTCCTCCTAGCTGCCAGAAAGGCTCGCGGCTCGGCCCGCGGGGCGCAGCTCCCGGCAGGGGGCGCTGGCTAGGTTCTCCCACGCAGGAGCAAAGTCACTGCGCGGCGGCCGAGCTCCACAGGAGGACCCGGGGGTGCAAAGCGGCGCTGAAGGCATGCGTGGCGGGCTGCAGGGTGTGAGTGAGGGGCTAAACAACAGTAGGGTGGCGCGGTGTGGGAACCAGCCGGATGCTCAGAGGAGGTGTCCCAGGAAACCCCCTTTCGAGTTAGGCACTCACGGGCTTAAACCTCGACTTGACCCCTTCTTGCCTGGATAACTTCCCAGAGCCTCAGTTTCCACATTTGTAAAGTGGATCAATAATAGCATCCACCGTAGATGGCTGTTGTGAGGATCATATCAAGGTTCTAATGTAATGTTTTATACAAAGTGGAGAGGGCTGGGGACCTCAGGGATCCGCCAACTATCTCCTTGGAGTTCGGATCTCCTAAAGGCAAAGGCTCTGCGAGGACCCCACCGGCTGTGCTGACTTTGTGAGCAGCTGCGAAGGTCAGGGTAGGGTGCGCCACCTTCACACCACAGCTCTTGCAGCCACCAGCTCCAGGCAGTTGCCCCTCGTTTCTGTTGGGTCTAGACCGTGTTCTTACCCAGCCTGACCCTGACCCTGCTATGGCCCCTGGAACCCTGCCTGTGTGCCCTTGTGCAGGGTGTCAGAGGTGCGGGACCACTAGGCCTGGGGTCCCTGTCACGCGCGGGCCCTTGTGCAGTCTGTCTGTTCTTTTTGGCTGCACCCCCATCCCCGCCAGCATAGGGAGCAGAGGAATCATCCTGCGTCTTTCCTGGCTAGAAAGTCTATGCCAGCAGGGTGAAGAATCTGGGCCAACAGGCTGAGGGTTCTGTCGTGGGGCTCCGTGTCCTGCGGCTCCCCAATAGGGAGTTGCGAAGTATGTGTGCGGTCTAGTGTCCTGGGCACAGTAACGATTTATTTTAGTCAGATTCATTGAGGTATAACGTACATACAGTAAAATTTACTCTTCCAATTTACAGTTGTATTTATTATGACAAATCCACACTCGTGATATAGGAGGTTTCTGTCACCCTGGAAAGGACTTCTGTGTTCCTTCCGCTCCTCTGACACCCTCGGTTAAGACTTTTGTGCTTGTAGTTTACACGTGTATGGGATTCTGCAGGCAGCTACCTCCAACGCCTGGTGCTTTCATTCGTATGAATGTGTTTGTGTGTAGTTTGTGCCCCTTCCCCCTCATTTTACTGCTGAGTAGTGGTTCCCATTATATGGGATATATCACAATTTGTTATCCATTCACTGGTTCTTGGTTCTTATTAAATGAAGATGCTAGACCATTCATGTTCAGGTTGTTATGAGTGTGTGTCTTCATTTCTCTTGGGTGAATAGGAATGGAATTGCTAAGTCATGAAGAGTTCATATTTACTTTATTTTTATTTTATTTTATTTTTGGACCCGAGAATTGAACTGACGACCTTGCACTTGCCAGGCAGGCACTGTGCTGCCTAGCCGTATCCCCGGCCCCTTAATATTTACTTCAGTTAAAAAAGGTCAAATCGTTTTCCAATATCACATGGTGTCTCTGGTGTGAGAAACTGAAAGTCTAAATAAAGACCAAAATGTATGATACACATTAGGAAATGGGAAGAAAATGTTGAAATGAGAAGAGGGAGAAGGGACAAGGAAATAAAACAGAAAAATGGAAACAAAGATTTTTGTAAATAGAGAGGGAAAGGGGAGTTGAAGGAGAGGAGGAGAATGGAAAAAAAAGAAGGAAGATATACTATGTACAGGTTCAAATTCCCAATGATAAAAGGTACCATAATGTATATCTCAAATATACAAATAAAATAAAAATACCCCCCCAAATTGTTTCCCAAGTACCATATCATTTTGCGTCTCCACCAGTCATGTCCTAAGTGTTCCAACTGCTTTGTGTCCTCAACAGCCTTTTTTTTTTTTTTTTTTTTTTTGTGGTACCGGGGACCAAACTCATGACCTTGCACTTGCTGGCTGGCACTTATGCTGAGGAGCTAAATCCCTGGCCCCTGTAGCCTTAATTTTTATTTCCTTCATCATTTTAATGATGTAGTCAGGGGTTGCAAGGAGAACAATTACATACCGGACACATAATTTATAGTGTTATTTATAATAGTCATCCAAGGAGTCAAATACAAAGAAAATGCGGGAAATCTGTCCACAACCCTAAAGACCTAGAAAATTCAGCTGAGGTTCTGGACCCCATGACAATAACCTGCATGAGTTCAGCTGAAAACCAAGAGCCCATGACAGTGACTCATGCAAGTCTGTTTCACAGATCTATGATGGGAAGGCCCAGAGGTCAGCAGTGGAAGCTAGAAAGTCTATGCCAGCAGGCTGAGGGTTCTGTCCTGGAACCAAGAAACAAAGCTCAAAATAAGAGTTAGGGCTCCCCTGAAAATTACCACAGTCATCCTCAGGGACACTGAGGTTCTAAGCCCCTCTGACAATGAGAACAGCCTGAGTTCATACCAGAAAACCAGCACGACAAGCTTCTGGAGACTAAACAGCAAACATCTTCCCCTTTGGAGCCAGAAAGTGATGCGCAAAGTAAAAACTAAAGCTTCCCTAAAGTGAACCAGAACCATTCTCAGCGACCAGGTCCAGAGCTCCTCCATGATAACAGCACAGTTCAATTCAGGGGAGCCAGCATGCCAAGGTCCTCCAGGGGAAACAAAAGCTCCAAACATCAACACTTAGGAAAAACCAAAACGCTACTCTTCCTTTCCACATGTCCTTTTTATGCTGGCAGCAGTCCTCAGTTGGGCCACCCATGCTCAGCACCATGCTGATTCAGTTCAGCTGGTGTGTAAATTACCAATCCACTACAATGATGTTAAGCATTTTTTTTACGTGCTAACTGGACATTCAGTATATCTTTGGCAAAGTGGCTGTCTAAATCTTTGACCTATGTTTTCTATTAAGTTGTTTGATATTTTTACTATTGTTTCAAGAATTTGTAGTTATTCAGATTACAAATGGTTTATTGGATATTTTGCAAACATTTCCTCCTAGTCTATATCTTATGTTTTTTTACTTAACAGTGGCTTTCAATGAGCAAATGTTTTTAATTTTGATAAAGTCATCTACATTTTCTTTTGTAATTAATATTTTTGTGTCCTAGCAAATCTTTGCATAATCCAAGCTCACAAATGTTTTCTTTTAAAAGTTTTATAGTTTTATCTCTTACATTTAGATCTTTGACTCATTTTGAATTCATTGCTTTTTTGTATATAACATGAGATACAGATCAAGCTTTTAAAAAAATTATATATATGTAATACCTCGTTGTTGGAGGCGCTCTCCTTTTCCACATTGAATCGTGCTGGCCATTTGTCAGAAGTCAACCATAGATGCATAGATCTACTTTTGGATTCCATTTTGTTTTGCTGACTTGTGTGTTCATTCTTATGCCAGCACCATATTTATCTTAATTGCTAAATTGCTGTTATTATTGCTGTTAACCCAAGTTCTCTAATTTTTTTCCTCCTTTTCAAAATTGTTTTGCCTACTCTAGGTCCTTTCTTTTTCTTTTTAAATTTTTCTTGTTATTAGTGCCTGTTACTTTTACAGCATATTTGGCTTCAGTGTGTTCATTTTAATC